TAAAAAACATTGTGAGAATGCTCTAGGTGACTCTCGAGCCTGTTCTTTCTAAAATTTAAAAAAAAAAAAAAAAAATTTCATTTTGTAATCTAAGTACGTACTAGAACGGAGATGGAGACGAATCAAACATCAATGGAACCAATATTTTCTATGGAACTTGCGGTCATGGGCTAGTAAGAATTCTTTTGATCATAGGTAATCCATTATGATTTAATTCATTCGTTTTTAACCAAATATTTGAATCACTAGAATGGGTTTTCTATTGAATTTTTGTTTGGTCAGTGTTTTTTTTTTTGGATGAATGGTTAGTATTGTTTGGGACCCATGGTTTATGGGGTCCACATATAAATGGTCTCACTGGAACATCGATTTAGAATGATGATGAGTCGATGGCCAATGATCGGAGCAATGAGAGTGGCGAAGGTGATGGCGTTGAGGTTTGTGCGCTTGATAATTGGGGAATGGGTCGGAGTTCCGTTCCCACAAAAATTTATAAGCTGCTTAATTTTGTAATTGGATTCTCATTATCGCTTAAATTGTAGATAATTGTCATTTAAATTTGATGCTTTTTTTTTTACAGCGTCTATTCAATAGTATATGAGATGATAATTTGACCTTGAAGATTTCAAAATAACTTGAAAATGAAGGTTTTCAATTTAATGATTGCTCTTTTTTAAGGTTTATCAATTGTCAAAAAATAATGAATGTTGATAAATTTCGAGCAAAAAAATTAATAAGACGTTAAAAACATTGACTTTTTTTTTAATATTTGGCAAGTATGCCAAATAATATTGGGCATCATATTTATGTGAACTCGTTCAGCTTCTGAAAGCTAACTGTTGTATTATACTTAGCCTTGTAATTTTTTATAGCTTAAAATATAAATAACATTTTAATCGTTCCCGAAAGATTAATGATTTTATTTTGTTTTACTATGCAAGACTTGAATTATGGCAAAAGATGCAAGAGCTCTAATGGATCACTTGGGTTGTAAAAAAGCCCATATTTTCGGCCCTTCAATTGGTGAGTTCTGACTTTGAATTTCTGTTTCGCATTTGTGACTTCTTTATTTCCTAGGAACTTGTATACTTGTCGAACTTTATGATATTCATTCGATGTTAAATTTTTGGGTTAAGCCATTCGTACCCGGGT